CTCGGCCACACCCTTCCGGACAGCACGCTCAGGGCTACGTGTGTGGGCCCAGCTTCCTAATTCACTCAAATGACTGCTGAGCACCTACTGTGTGCAGGCACTGGGCCAGGGACACAGGATGCCACAACGAGCAGCCCAGTGTGTCCTCACCTCCTGCTGGACTTTACTGGGCACTGGCTGTGCCCCATGCTTGGCCTGAGCCTTTTTGCTGTTCCTCATTTAAGCCTCACGTCCACTCCAAGCGGCAGGGGGTGTTAACTGTTTTCTGAATGTGAGAACAGACTCAGAGAGGGGAGTTCCTCGGCCAAGGGCCACATAGAAAGTAAGTCACAGGATGTGGTCCTGTGGGGAGCTTAGGTCAGTGCAGGGGCAGAACAGGGAGGGCTCCCTGGAGGAGGGGACTGGGCCATGGTGGGGACACTGAGGCAGCTGAGGGAGGGGCTGAGGCGTAGGTGTGAGCCCCAGTGGGCTGGAACCCAGGATCTGGCTGACCACAGGAAGGCAAGGGCATCAGGCAGCTCTGGCCAAGAAAAGTCCAGGTGTCCAAGTTCTGTGTCCCCCATGCTTCCTGAGCACCCTCCGTGTGCCAGGCAGGGCCCTGGGAGGTCAGCCGTGAGGCAGCGAGGGCACAGGGTCTGGCAGGCCATGGAGTGGGGCGGGCACAGGCCCGAGAGACTCCGCTGGAGGCCTTCCTGCCTCGCAGGACAAGCTGCTGGAGAGTCTGAACCGCAAGGTGCTGGATGTGTACCAGCAGTGCGCCAGCACCCAGCAGGAGTCCAGCCTGGGCACCGTGCAGATGCTGGCCATCATCGAGCACCAGCTGGACGAGCTGCTCGAGAACCTGGAGCGTGTGCCCCAGGCCAAGATGGAGCAGGCCAAGAAGGCCAAGGAGAAGGAACGGCGCCTGAGGTCAGGGTCCCACCTGGACAGAGGGCCGACACGGTCCTGCCCACACCAGGGGAGACAGGAACTGGGGCTCCATGCTGGGAGAGACCAAAGCCAGGAGTCTGGGGGGATCCAGAAGGGGCACCAAACTCAGCCCCAGTGAGGCAAGCCCCTCTTCTGGAATGAGGGATGATGTGGAGTCAGGGAGCCCAGGAGCCAGTGAGGGTGTGGCCAGCACGGCCTCACCCGATAGAACAAGGGACAGCAGTGGCCATTTTCGTGGCTGGACTGGAGGGGAAGAGGAGGGAGGCGCAGACTCCAGGGGCAGCTGAGGGGAGCCCCGAGGTTAGTGGCGGGGGCAGGCAGGTGCAGCTGGCAGTATCACAATGCTGGACGTGGGTGGCGCTGGCCTGTCCTCTGAGGAGAGGCCCACCCCAGGCCCAGTGGGGCACAGGTGAGCTCTGGGGACTCAGGGTCCTCTGGCCTGTGGGCGGCCTGGTTCATTCACTCCAGTGCGGAGCCCTAGACACAGCTATCGGTCTCTCCCACAGGCACAGGGGCTCCTCCTGTGTCCCCAGTACCCTGCTCGGAGCAGGCACTGGGCAAAGGTTTAATGACGGCAAGTACAGACAGGGAGACAGGGCTCCTGACCCTGCTGGGGGCTGGGCCTTTAAGGGTGACAATGGAGGAGCCTTGGGCAGTGGATCCGTGACCAGGAACTTGGGCCTCCCGGGGGTACGAGCTGATGAACCTTCGATGGCCTCCCACAGGAGCGCAGAGCTGGGACTCCCAAGAAGCAGGGGCAGAAGCAGGGCCCCGAGCCCCAGGGAAGGCTGGAGAGGGGTGGGGAGTTGCTCAGGAGGAGGAGGGCTGTGGCTGACTGCGGGCTGCGGGGGTGGGAGCTGGGAAGGGACTGTGGCAACCTCCCTGGCCCCTCCAGTCCTTACACTCTGTCTCTTGCTGCCACTGCCACCCAGACTCCGGGAAGAGAAGGTCAAGGTGCAGAAGCAGCTGCAGGAAGAGCGTCTGCAGCGGGCCCGGG